GCCAGCAAAACATCCACGAAACAAAGAAAGGTCTGTCACAGCCAAAAAATACACTCCAGACACGCCGCTGGCACTAGAGGCACAGCATGGCCAAAGAAACTCCGACGAAACAGTTTGTCACAGCCCCTCGTTTGTTGTCCTCTTCTCCCTCTCTGCCTACGGTTTACCGGGCAGTTCTATTTGACGATATATATATATATATATCACAATGTGACAATATATATATATATATATATATATCTGATGAGTCGGTGAAACTCCGACGAAACGGTTTGTCACAGCCCCTCTTTTGTTGTCCTCTTCTCTCCCTCCCTCTTTGCCTACGGTTTACCGGGCAGCTGAGGACCTTTCCGTCCTTCCTTCGCTACACATACTGAGATATGGCGAAAGGTCCAGGGGTAAGTATCGGGAAAAGTTTGCGGAAGGAACGGGAGAAGGTAGGGAAGGTAGGGGGAGGATATTGGGGAAGGTATGAGGGAAGGTATGGAGGAAGGTATCGAGGGGAGGTATGGGGGGAGGTATAGGAGAAGGTACGGGGAAGGTATGGGGTGAAGTATAGCGGAAAGTATGGGGCAGGTATGGGGGAAGGTATGGGGGAAGGTATGAAGAGAGTATGAGAAAGGTATGAGGGACGGTATGGGGAAGGTATGGGGAAGGTATCGGGGGAAGATAACGGGAGAAGGTATGGGGGGAGGTATCGGGGAAAGTACGGGAAAGGGATGCCATAGGGCCGAAGTATAAATGGGGAAGGTATGGGGAAAGGTGTGGGGAAGGTATGGCGAAGGTATGGGGAGGAGGAATTTATAGGGAAGGTATGGGGAAGGTATGGGGAAGGTATGGGGGAAGGTATGGAGGAAAGTATGGGGGATGACAGAAGAGGAGGGATAGACATAGTGAGCGAGAAAAATGCGGAATGCAACAAAAGCAGAGGACGTGAGGAGACGATACAGAAGGATATGGCGGCTGAACGTACGAGGAGAGGAGCAAGATAAGACCATGAGTTTTCTTTAATGAAATATAAAAACGGAAATAAAGGGGGCAGGGTGGAGGGGGGGAAGGGAGGCGGCGGTGGGGTGAGAATAGCGAAAAAAAAGCATAAGAAACAAAAAAAAGAAGAGGTTGAATCATCATCGGAGGAGGATCGTAAACAAGGAGAGGATAAAAAATATGCAGGAGAAGGGGACGGGTATATACGTCCGACTTATCCCGACAGGGGCGTGGCTCAGACCGGTCGGCATTCTTTTCCCTTTTCTTTGCCGGGGGAGGGGGAGAGAGGGGAGGGGGGGGCAGGAGGGGGGGGGAGAAGAGGAAGACAGGTGGTTAAGGAAAGGTAACAATGAACCTGGTCTGACAGGCCGTCTTGGCATTCACCAGCGCTCCTGACGCTCCTGGAAACGCACTGCGTGTACAAGCCGCCATTGTGGCAAAAGCTATTGCAGGCTAGAGCACTCGCCTGAGCACGATCCCCTCTGCTATTGTAACGTCCACAGTCACCACAGCTCCTCTCTCTCTCTCTCTCTCTCTCTCTCTCTCTCTCTCTCTCTCTCTCTCTCTCTCTCTCTCTCTCTCTCTCTCTCTCTTCCAC